CAGAGCACTTTGAAAAAGTGGTCTGTGGTATGTGGAAAGCTGATGTTGCGTGTGAAGATTACAGACAGCTTTATCCAAGGAGATCCGGCTCTTGTAGTTGGGAAAGTGTTGTGCCTCTTCGGTTTTCGAACAAGCAATCCTATCAGGGATCTGGCTCTCGAGATTCGGAGAACGATGTCTCTTCGATTTTTGAGAAAGCAATCCTGCTGGGGGTCTGGCTCTCGAGATTCGGAGAGCGGTGTCTCTTCGATTTTTGAGAAGGTAATCATGTTGGGAGTCTGGCTCTCGAGATTCGGAGGGCGGTGCCTCTTCGATTTTGGAGCAAGCAATCTTGTTGGGAGTGTTTTCTCGAATGTGAGTAAAGGTTGGGCATGTTTGCTAGTCTACCTTGCCACGAAGCACAGAGGTTGACACACAGGGACTTTCCAATTATCCAGCAATGGTACTGTTCCTTTACCCTCTCTTCGATTTTTGAGAAAGTAGTAGTCATGTTGGGAGAGTCTGGCTCTCGAGATTCGGAGGACGGTGCCTCTTCGATTTTGGAGCAAGCAATCTTGTTGGGAGTGTTTTCTCGAATGTGAGTAAAGGTTGGGCATGTTTGCTAGTCTACCTTGCCACGAAGCACAGAGGTTGACACACAGGGACTTTCCAATTATCCAGCAGTGATACTGTTCCTTTACCCTTGTGGGTAATAATATGGGGTAGCTAGACCTTCAAAATTTATGTGTCTAAACTTTGTTAGTGCTGTTTCTTTTTGCTATTCTTTGACCCGTCTTGGTCAGAGCGATGTAGTGGAAGCTGCAAGCTTCACGTGCTCAACTTTGGCAGAGAACTTTGGCAAAGTTATCTGTGATACACATGAGCTACTATTGCGTGTGGGAAGTGGGTGATGATTGAACAGTAAGACTCATGTGCTTTCTACTTCACCAGAAGTCTTCGACAGAATGCCCATAATTTCCGCAAAGCTGAGTGTGCGTGTGACAGGTGCTGCCAAGGCTGGAAAAGTAGGTGCCTCTTCGATTTCTGAGATCGGCCCTCGTGGTCTCTGAGCAGCCCAACTTTTGAGAAAGCACGCGCCTCTTCGATTTCTGAGATCGGCCTTCGTGGTCTTTGAGCAGCCCAACTTTTGAGAAAGCAGACGCCTCTTCGATTTCTGAGATCGACCCTCGTGGTCTCTGAGCAGCCCAGCTTTTGAGAAAGCAAAACGCCTCTTCGATTTCTGAGCAGGCGCCTCTTCGATTTCTGAAGCTCCGTCGAGTGCAGATTTTTATAGGGGCTGGCATTAAGTTCCAAAGCACACTTGAATCTCCCCCAGTAGAAGCTCCATTCTTACACTTCTAAGATCTTGATTTGTTCGACCTCTTCTCTCTTCAACACCTTTGAAAATGTCTGGCCCCTCCGACCGTCGTTTTGACTTGAACCTTGTTGAAGAGGCAGCCCCGCCTTCTCCAGACAACATATGGCGCCCATCCTTCGTCTCCCCTACTGGTCCTCTTACCGTTGGGGATTCCGTTATGAAGAATGATATGACCGCTGCGGTGGTGGCCAGGAACCTTCTCACTCCCAAAGATAACAGACTACTTTCCAAACGATCTGATGAGTTAGCTGTTAAGGATTCTCTGGCTCTCAGTGTTCAGTGTGCAGGTTCTGTGTCTAATATGGCCCAACGCCTATTTGCTCGAACCCGCCAAGTTGAATCATTGGCGGCTGAAGTGATGAGTCTCAAACAGGAGATTAGAGGGCTCAAGCATGAGAATAAACAGTTGCACCGTCTCGCACATGACTATGCTACAAACATGAAGAGGAAGCTGGACCAGATGAAGGAATCTGATGGTCAGGTTTTACTTGATCATCAGAGATTTGTGGGTTTGTTCCAAAGGCATTTATTGCCTTCGTCTTCTGGGGCTGTACCGCGTAATGAAGCTCCAAATGATCAACCTCTGATGCCTCCTCCTTCTAGGGTTCTGTCCAGTACTGAGGCTCCGAATGATCCCCCTCCGGTGCCTTCTCTTTCTGGGGCTCTACCGACTGCTGCGACTTCTCCTAAGCAACCTTTGTGAAGGCTCTCTCTTGTTTGTTTATTTTGACTCATGTATATGTACATATTTGTAGCTTATCGGGGATATCAATAAATAAGCTTTCCTTCATTTCAACGTATTGTGTTAAATACACCAAAGCCTTCTTCTCTAAGTTCTTTGAATTTTCTTTTGTTGGAGCTTTGTGAGTGGAGCATGTAGGTTGAGGTAGTGTTCCCTTAATTTCCTGAGTGAGGAAAACTTCTCGGTTGGAGACTTGGAAAATCCAAGTCACTGAGTGGGATCGGCTACATGAATCTTTAGAACGCCATTGTGCTCGGTCCTGTGTCATGTCCTTCGTTAAATCCAAGTACTCTAAGTCTTTTCTTAGAGTCTCTTCCAAAGTTTTCTTAGGTCTTCCTCTACCCCTTCGGCCCTGAACCTCTGTCCCATAGTCGCATCTTCTAATCGGAGCGTCAGTAGGCCTTCTTTGCACATGTCCAAACCACCGTAACCGATTTTCTCTCATCTTTCCTTCAATTTCGGCTACTCCTACTTTACCCCGGATATCCTCATTCCTAATCTTATCCTTTCTCGTGTGCCCACACACATCCAACGAAGCATCCTCATCTCCGCTACACCCATTTTGTGTACGTGTTGATGCTTCACCGCCCAACATTCTGTGCCATACAGCATCGCCGGCCTTATTGCCGTCCTATAAAATTTTCCCTTGAGCTTCAGTGGCATACGGCGGTCACACAACACGCCGGATGCACTCTTCCACTTCATCCATCCAGCTTGTATTCTATGGTTGAGATCTCCATCTAATTCTCCGTTCTTTTGCAAGATAGATCCTAGGTAACGAAAACGATCGCTCTTTGGTATTTCTTGATCACCGATCCTCACCCCTAACTCGTTTTGGCCTCCATTTGCACTGAACTTGCACTCCATATATTCTGTCTTTAATTAGGTCATAATCTGCATAAAAACTCTTACATATGTATAAACCATCTCTGGTTTAAATAAGTTTCAAAGAAGTTTGCATTATGATAAGGCTCCATTTGGATGAAATGATTTGGATTTCTTAACGAGGTTGAATTTGCTACAAAAACTAGAAAACATTAGATTGTGTTTTGTAGTACATTTCTAGACGCTAAATTCTCCTTATTATTGCACACTATTGTGTATGAATGTTCAAGGCCGTGCCTGAAATTTTGGGGTCTTGTACAAAATTTATAAAGGGAGCCAATCTTAAGACAGTCTTCCAGAAAAAAAGTTGAACAATGTATTGATGATGCTAAAAAGCAATAATTAAAACTGAAATAAACTTTAAAATTTACACTAATTATCAGTTTCTAGATATCATTAAATGTAAAGAAAGCTACAAAAATTACATATTACTAAATAATCAACAATTGGTTCAATCTTAAGAAACCGAATGAGTAAAAGCTTCAAAAAAGTCTAACATTGAAGTTTCACTTAAAATGGTTCTTCGTGCATTCTTTGTTGCAAAATCATCAATTAAATATTCATAATCAATTTTGTCTAAAAAACCATTTTCAATCGATATCAAAGCAAGCATATTTAATCTTTCCTGCAACATATATAATTGCAAGTATGATTTGTAATTGTTGTAGAGCCCACTAAAGTATCATTTTTTTAGTACATCGATATTTTTACACTATGGGAGGGGAAGTTCGGCTAAGTCACACAATGGGCAGCCTAATTTGGTATCGAATTTGTCATTCACAAGATTCGAACCTAAACCCTCTCACTTGTAAGCGAAGAGGAATACCACCATACTGTAATACTGAGTGACACAACACAAAGTATCATTAGATTGCTAGAAAATCAAAAGGTGGGATAGTTTTTTTTTTTTTTTTTTAATAAGAAAAGTGGGAAAATTAGAAAAGAGGGAATTGTAAGTCCCACTTGAAATTCTTTTCTTTTTTTTCGTTCACATTCAGGTATAGTAATGCTGTGTATTAGATAGCAAAAATTTTTTGGGAGCCTCTTAAAGTTTGGGACCCTATTTGGTCGAACACTTCAGTTGTGGAAGATGGATATACCAGCTGTGGATGTCATTCATGCTATAACTATCTATTCATGTCTAATTAATTAATAATGGGGAAAAAAAAATTAGATTTCTCTTTAAGTTGTGCATACCCATAAATTAATGATTTACAAAAGAAAGATGACAACATTCATTACTTGTGGATTTTGAGATCTTTCCTTAAACATTATGTGCAACAAATCAGATTCTCTCTTAAAAAGGAATCACCTTTTAAGTTTTCCTTCCCCCATCACATAAGCCATGTGAATCTGTGATCTAGGTTTAAGTTTCACAAGTAAAAGATTGCTTAACATACAATCTAAATTTCCATGGCCAACGCAGTCAAGTTTCACTAGTAAAAGATCAATGTTTTAAGAAATTAGTATTGAGACTAGTCTAAGCAGTTTTTTAGACGGGCTATCTGTTAAACTGTCCCACATCGGTGGGGTGAAGAAAACCAAAGGGGTTTAAATAGTATTACCCCACTTTAACTAATACCGAGGCCTTTTGTGGTAAAACCCCACACCTGAGGATTGTGCAGGTGGTTAAGTGGGGACAGTATCGGTGTCGTTCGAGTGGGACGGGCCCAGCGATCCAAAAATTCCAACATGGTATCAGAGCCCACGGTTGCGGGCCCGTGCAAGCCAACGAGCTTGTCACCACCCGGAAGGAAACAAGTCTAAGCTCTTAATATAGAGACGACCGCTGAGTTCCAATTGAAAACAAGTGGGCCCAACGTCAGCCGACCTCTGAGTTTCAATCACCGATGTGGATCTCCACGTGTGAACCACTAAATGAGGTTACACGTGAGGGGGAGTGTTAAACTGGGCGTGAATCTGTGAAGCTCACAGTGAAGAGCTCGAACTGACCGTTGAGTTCTCACTGAAGAAAACGCGGAGAAGAAAGTGTAGTGATCTTAGATCTCGTCTCACATGGCTGGATCGAGTGGAGCTGATCTTCGTGCACCGGTTTTCAATGGTGAAAACTTTGATTTCTGGCAGATTCGGATGAAGACAATATTCCGATCGCACGAGCTATGGGATATCGTCGAAAATGGTGTCGAAACTTCGACGAAGAAGGATGAAGAACTTACTGTAGCTGAAAGCAAGTTATTGAAGGAGAATATAGTCAGAGATGCGAAGGCACTTGGAATCATTCAAGGCGCGGTTTCGGATCAGATCTTTCCGAGAATCGCAATCCAAGAGACTGCAAATGCTGCTTGGAATGTGCTGAAACAAGAATTTGTGGGAGATAAACAGGTACGGGCTGTGAAACTCCAAGGCTTACGCCGGGATTTTGAATATACTATAATGGGTGAAAATGAAGCTTTCTCTGCATATCTAGTTAGGTTATTTGATTTGATTAGTCAAATGAGAAGCTATGGTGAGGAGATAAGTAATCAGAGAATCGTTCAAAAGTTGCTAATAAGTTTACCTAGGTCCTATGATAGTATTGCTTCTGTGATTGAAAAATACTAAGGATCTAGATATTGTTGATGATGTCAAGATGTGGTAGCTATTCTCAAAGGTTATGAGCAAAGAATTGATCGGCATGATGAATCTCATACTGAGAAAGCATTTGTTAGTCTCAGTATTGCTCCAAAACAGAATAAGTACAATGGGAATCAAGGGTTCAAACCACAGAAGAATTGGAAGTCTAAATGGAAGAAAGGAGATCATAGACCTGCAAATCAAACTGGAAAAGTTGCAGGTACTTCTGAAGGAGCTAAGAATCCCTGTATTCATTGTGATAAATTGCATTTTGGTGAATGTTGGTTCAAAGATAAACCAAGGTGTCATAGTTGTCATAAGTTGGGGCATATTGCAAGAGATTGCCGAGTCAAGAAGGAGAAGACTAATCAACATGTGAATTTTGTTAATCAAGTCAATGATACTCCTACCATGTTCTATGTCTGCAATAATGTTAATGTGAAGAAAAATGAAGATATATGGTATGTAGATAGTGGTTGTAGTAACCATATGACTGGAAGGGAGGAGTTACTGATTGACATTGATAGAAATATGACTGCTAAGGTAGAGATGGGTACAGGACAGCTCATTGAAGTCACAGGGAAAGGAAGTTTAGTAGTTGATACCAAAATGGGAAGGAGATATATCAAAGAAGTGATGTTAATTCCAGGGTTAAAAGAAAATTTGCTCAATGTAGGGCAAATGATGGAACACGGTTACTTTCTTGTGTTTGGAGGTACAACTGCAGAGATATATGATGATAGTTCAATGTCTAATCTGATAGCTAGAATACCAATGAAGGGAAATAGAAGTTTTCCTTTGAGACTTATACCTGAGATGCAGGTTGCTCTAAAGACTAGTGTGTTTCAGTCTTCTAAAATCTGGCATAGGAGGTTAGGACATTTGAATTTGAGCAGTTTGAAACAACTCAAAGAGCATGATATGGTGTTGGGTTTGCCGGATCTTGAAATGACAAATGAGATATGTGAAGGGTGTGCTTTTGGGAAGCATTGCAGAGATGCATTTCCAAAGGAAGCATCATGGAGGGCCACACAACCTCTTGAACTCATTCACTCTGACATTTGTGGACCCATGCAGATTTCTACAAAGGCTGGAAATAAGTATTTTCTCACCTTCATAGATGACTGCACTCGGATGTGTTGGGTTTACTTCTTAAGGAACAAGTCAGAGGTGTTTAGTGTATTCAAGAAATTCAAGCTCACAGTTGAATTGCAAAGTGGATATAAATTGAAGAAGTTGAGAAGTGACAGAGGAGGAGAATATGTATCTGTTGAATTCAGGGAATTTTGTGAAGAAATGGGCATGGAAAGACAGTTTACAGTGGGATACACACCTCAGCAGAATGGAGTAGCTGAGAGGAAGAATAGAACCATAGTTGAGATGTCAAAGTGTATGATGATTGAAAAGGGTGTCCCATTTGAATTCTGGGCAGAAGCTGTTAATACATCAGTGTATATATTTTGAACAGATGTCCTACCAAGTCTCTTGATAAGAAGACTCCTTTCGAGGCATATAGTGGAAGAAAACCAGGGATCAAACACTTAAAGATTTTTGGTTCTGTGTGTTATGCATACATTCCAAGACAGGTTAGACAAAAAATTGGATGAAACAAGTACTAAATGCATATTTTTGGGATATGGCACATGTGAGAAAGGGTATAGACTCTATGATCCTATCTCAAAGAAAATAATTGTGTCAAGAGATGTAATAGTCAATGAAAATGCTTGCTGGGATTGGGAGTCACAATCTGAGAAAATCATCAGTGTATCCATACCTGGAAAGAAATTGTGTGAACAAAATGTGGAAGGAAATTCAAGTGATAAGAGTGATGAAAATGATGAATTCTTAGCATCTTCATCTGAAGCAAATGAGTCAATTGAAAATGATTCAAGACTGGTGCAAATGCAGAGTAACACAGGTCCTCAAGACTATGATCATACTCCTTTGAAGTTCAAAAGTTTGACAGAAATATATGCAAAATGCAATCTGTGCATTATTGAGCCTGAGAACTTGAGAACTTTGAGGAAGCAGTAAAAGATGAATCATGGCAGAAGGCAATGGAAGCAGAAATAGGCATGATAGAGAAGAATTGCACCTGGGAACTTGTTGATAGACCATTTGATAAGCCGGTTATGGGTGTCAAGTGGATCTATAAAACAAAATTGAACCTAGATGGGTCTATACAGAAGAATAAGGCAAGGTTAGTGGCTAAGGGATACTCTCAAAAGCCTGGAATCGATTTCAATGAGACATTTGCTCCTGTGGCAAGGCTTGACACTATTAGAACTTTAATTGGGCTTGCTGCACATAAAGGATGGAAGCTTTTCCAACTTGATGTGAAGTCTGCATTTCTGAATGGAGTTCTAAATGAGGAAGTATATGTAGACCAACCACTTGGCTTTGTGATTAGAGGCAAGGAAGACAAGGTTTACAAGCTCAAGAAAGCTTTGTATGGGTTGAAACAGGCACCAAGGGCCTGGTACAAAGAAATTGATTCTCATTTCTGCAACTCTGGTTTTCACAGAAGTCCAAGTGAAGCAACTCTCTACATCAAAGCAACTGAGGCAGGAATACTTATTGTTTCTCTGTATGTAGATGACATCATATACACAGGAAGTTCAGCTGCATTGATGAATGAGTTTAAAACAGAAATGATGGGAAAGTATGAAATGTCTGATTTGGGACTATTGCATCATTTCTTGGGGCTTGGAGTCATTCAAACTGAGAGTTGTATTTTTCTGCATCAAAAGAAATATGCAAGGACTCTGTTGGAGAAATTCGGATTGAAAGAATGCAAACCTGTTGCAACTCCACTTGCAACAAATGAAAGATTAAGCAAAGAAGATGGAAGTGAAATAGCTGATGAAAGTCTTTACATGGCAGATAGTTGGTAGTTTGTTATATTTAACAGCTACAAGACCTGATATCATGTTTGCTGCAAGTCTACTTGCTCGGTTCATGCATAATCCAACCAGGAAACATATGGGAACTGCAAAGAGAGTGCTAAGATATATTCAAGGCACACTGGACTATGGAATTGCATATGAAAAAGGCAAGGATGCTGTGCTTATTGGATATTGTGATAGTGATTGGGCAGGAAGTGAAGATGACATGAAGAGCACCTCCGGATATGCTTTTAGTTTTGGTTCTGGAGCATTTTCTTGGGCCTCAATCAAACAAAGCAGTGTAGCTTTGTCCACTGCAGAGGCAGAGAGTATGTTAGTGCTGCAGAGGCAACTGCACAAGCCATCTGGTTAAGGTTTGTCTTATCAGATTTTGGAGAGGAACAAGTGGAACCTACTCAAATTCTATGCGATAACACTTCAGCTATTGCAATCTCTAAGAATCCAGTGGCTCATCATAAGACAAGACACATAAACAGAAGATTTCATTTCATCCGAGATGCACTGCAGAATTGTGAAGTTGATCTGATTTACTGCAAAACTGAAGAACAAGTTGCAGATATCTTTACAAAAGCATTGGCAAGAGATAGATTTGAGTATTTGAGGAAGGCTTTAGGAGTGATTTCAGCTAAACACTTAGAAGGGAGTGTTAGTGTTTAAGTGTTTTTTAGCTGAAATAAAACATTTCAGTTTACCTGTTTTAATTATAGCCTTTGGATTACATTCCAAATGGATGCTCTAGATTAAGTGAGAATTAATGATATAGAGTAACAACTGTAGCTATCTCATAGGATAGATGAAATGAATGGTTGTGATGTATTTTCTCTGATATGAGAGAGAAATGTGCTAATGCTCTGTAATGTGAGTGCTTTCGGTAATGTCCATTCGATTGCCAGAAAGAAGAGAAATGAAACTTCTTGTTCACTCATCTTTGTGAATACTCTCTGCAACTCTTTGTTTTCTTTTATACAAGAAAGCTCCCAAAACAGCATCAAATCTATAAACTAACATGGTATCAGAGCCCACGGTTGCGGGCCCGTGCAAGCCAACGAGCTTGTCACCACCCGGAAGGAAACAAGTCTAAGCTCTTAATATAGAGACGACCGCTGAGTTCCAATTGAAAACAAGTGGGCCCAACGTCAGCCGACCTCTGAGTTTCAATCACCGATGTGGATCTCCACGTGTGAACCACTAAATGAGGTTACACGTGAGGGGGAGTGTTAAACTGTCCCACATCGGTGGGGTGAAGAAAACCAAAGGGGTTTAAATAGTATTACCCCACTTTAACTAATACCGAGGCCTTTTGTGGTAAAACCCCACACCTGAGGATTGTGCAGGTGGTTAAGTGGGGACAGTATCGGTGTCGTTAGAGTGGGGCGGGCCCAGCGATCCAAAAATTCCAACACTATCAACATCTCTGCCTAGCGAGAGTGGGCTGTAGACTAGCCTAGGCGTTTGGGAGGTGCGCGTAGACGCCTGAGGCGTTGTCGAGGCACCACTTGAAAGCCACCTTATTTGGATCCAATGCCAAGGGTGCAGAGATCAAGGAAACCATTGCTTTTACCAAAGACAACTGATTTCAATAATTTGCAATCCTGAAACATGCCTTGGAAATTTTTGCACCGTTTGGAGTGAAAAGAGTACCATGAATTTAGACTACTCATCAGATGTATGTACCATAAATTAACATTTTGCTAGGACACAATCAGGTCATCGAGGGACTTTAATTGATTCGGGGAGTAATTACTCATGGATTGTTCGACCAGCTGCCTACGAAATGTTGGAACGAGCACTGGTGAATTACTTGTTAGGATTCCTGGCATAACATTGTAACCAGATTTTATCTTGTAAATGTTAGAAGAAACTTCTTATGCAGTCTATTTTATTTTACCTTTGATGCAACTTTGCATTTCAAGTTCGAACATTCATTTGATGCTTAAAAAAACCAAAAACAAAAACAAAAATTGTAATCAATATTTTACTTAAGCAAGTGATCATTTACTACAATGGTGGGAAATAATTAAGTATTTTTGAATTAGATATTGTAGAAATTTCTAACATGTGAAACATCTCAAATGCCATGCATGTATGTTATGAAACACAACACAATCGACACGATCAACGATAAAATTTTACTCTTAACGATATAGAAATTTTGAGTCAAAGGGAAAACAGTAGAACCAAGCATTTGTAAATTTGTAATGTATGGCAAAGAAAGCAAGCACGATCGTTTTCTCTGATCCACTGAAAAATCGAGAGCCGTGTGTTACTTTCCCGATCAATCAAACACTAGAGTCCCAACAAAAACTCCCACGTAAAAACATAGCCATTTACATCACATTGGATTCCTCAAGTTCTCTGAAAGCTCTCTCGATTAACCCAACAAAATGGCTACCCTTAACACGATCGCAGCTCACAACCTCCCTTCACCCTCAACCTCCTCCTTCGCCACCCAATCTCACAAACCCAACTCGCTTTCACTCTTCTTCTGCACCCAAACCTCCAGCAAACCCCACCCACCACGGCTTCCGGCCTTCCCGACCAGGAAAAAACGAAGCTGGATTGTTAGATCGATCACGGAGGACAGAGAGGTGGTTCCCTTGAAGAAGAAGGATACAGGGGAACAAGATAGCAGCTTGCTGCTTAATGGGTCGGGAGAATTTCAGGCTCTTTCGACATCATCGGAGGAGAAAGGAGAGGGGGATGATTTGGATAAGCTGACGAGCAGAGCTATTAATGCGTTAATTGTTCTGGGATTTGGGACCCTTGCGGTCTCTAAGTTGCTCACAATCGACCACGATTATTGGCATGTAAGTTATCTCATTCATGTGTATATGTGTATAGGTGTACATATTGGTACGTGTGTTCATGGATTATGTGCTCATATGAATCTTGGAAGGGTTTCCTCTGATGGGTTTACCTTAATTTGTTGGTTAATTGATTAAAGTTTTCAGCTTTAATTCTGGAATTGGTTGATCCTTAATACTTTAATCTATACTTAGTTAAGTTTCACTGCCGGATTTGGAACATCTTTTAGTAGAATGATGAGCCGAATCGAAATTGTTATCTGTGAATTCATGGATTTTGATGCAAATAAGCTGCAGAATGTTTAAAGGGTTTTCTTTTTCGTCTTAATTTGGTAATTTGCTTTAAGTTTCCAGCTTTGTTTTTGGAATGGGGTTGATCCTTAATACTTCAGAAGTTAACCTATACATGGTTGAATGATGAGCTGAATCGAAATCGAGTTCTTTTTCTTCTCTATATTGAATAAGATGGTTGCCTCAGTAAGTTGTTGTATTTTGGATGTCAAAGCTTAATTTTCGAGACGTTTTTTCAGGGATGGACACTTTATGAGATACTAAGATATGTACCGGAACACAATTGGATTGCATATGAACAGGCTCTCAAAGCAAATCCTGTTTTTGCCAAAATGGTGATAAGTGGGGTTGTCTATACTCTAGGAGATTGGATTGCTCAAGTAAGTCTCTCTTCAGATAAGATTAGATAAAGTTCATCTCAATCATGACTTGTTTTTGTGGCTTCTAAGTTGTTTCCTATTGTATGTGAAGTGTTTTGAAGGGAAGCCGCTTTTGGAGTTTGACCGGAAACGTATGTTCAGATCAGGCCTTGTTGGCTTTACTTTCCATGGATCTCTTTCCCATTATTATTACCAATTTTGTGAGGTGATGGTTCTGGTCTATATTTGCTTATTTCTAGCTTGTTTGATGGGTTTCTATGAATGGCTAAAATTATCGACTCTGATTTTCAGGCTCTTTTTCCTTTGGAGGATTGGTGGGTGGTCCCTGCCAAAATAGCCTTTGATCAAACAGTGTGGTCAGCGATTTGGAACAGCATCTATTTTGTGGTTTTGGGGTTCTTGCGTTTCGAATCCCCAACCAAGATTTTTGATGAACTTAGGGCTACATTTGTGCCCATGCTGACTGTGAGAAACTCTTCTAAATCTTCCTTAACAGTTTTGCATGTCTTGTTTTTGTTTTTGTGATTGTCTTTTGCTTGTTTTGAATGGATTACGAGATTATTTTCTTACCAGATAGAGTTGGATTTCTGAAAAAACATTGAGGATATGTTCACTTGTATCTGATTCAAGTTCTCTGACTCAGTTATCATTGCTTGTTTTGCTTCATATGCTGCTTAAGTTTAATAATATTTCATATCACAATAACAGATAAATGGAATATGTCGTAAAGTACAAAAGTATAGCTAAAAGATGAAATTTGAGCTAATGGGTCTCCAACAGTAGAATTGCTTCTTTCACTTGTACTTATGCAATCATACCAGCAGAGCTTAGTGTTATACCTGAAAAAAGTATATACAAAGATCAAGGGGATAGAGGAAAAAAGGAAATTCATTTTTTCAGATATTAGTTTACGTTAGGAACTAGCAAGTAAAATCAAGTAGAAATTGTTATAATGCTGTATTTGATCTAAATGCTTGTGGTGGTTTGAGTTTTTAGTGAATACAGGTTTAATTGGTATGTTATAAGTTGTAACCTACTTATATCTGTGAGTCAACTGGCATGACAGGCGGGATGGAAGCTTTGGCCATTCGCTCATGTCATTACCTATGGCCTGATCCCTGTTGAACAAAGGCTTCTTTGGGTGGACTGTGTGGAGCTAATTTGGGTTACTATTCTCTCAACGTAAGCCTCCAATCTTAGTTCTTTTATGTGGCGAGAATTTCTGTGTGCGAACCCCTACCCTGAGAAGTGTAATCTGCCCTATTTTGTATGCATTTTAATTTCAACATGCATATATCGTCTCTCACTGATTAAATTTTCTTTGGGTAGTTATTCAAATGAGAAGGCAGATTCTAGTTTATCTGAGGCATCTTCTGGAGCAGATTCTGCTTCTTCGTCAAGCAGTTCTTCAAAGGTACGTCATGTTAGCAGTCAGTGAAGGGCATATTTCAGAATATCAATACATGTTTAGGTCCAATAATGAATTCTTCAAATAATGAATTTGTGATTCCGTGGGCAGGACTAAATTTTGAAAAGCATGGACCCCATTAGGGTGTGGAAGTCAAAAATTCGATACTATAAGTGCGAGTAACATACTCGTTGAAAGGGGAGATCGTCATCCATTGGATGTGCAGACCCCCATATACTAGGAAGCGGCATGGGATAGCTTGGGAGACCAGCAATTATTGGTTATCCGAACCAAACACATACGACACGAAGAATTATTTGTCCCTCAGGTGTGTTATATATTCGTTCTCAAATTCAGTCAGATCTCCCTGGCGATCTCGTGCTATGTATATGTATTGGAGTAGCTGTAAATTTCAACAGGTACTGCAACTCATGTTGCAGCTTGGAGAAACTGTATACTTGTAATTATAGTGCCACAAAGATGAGTAAGAAGATTGAGATTTTGCAACTACATTTTGTTCGAGGTTGAAGTTGAAATGACTGCCTTTTTCGGAAAGTTTTGAGAACACTGCTTGGCTCCTTCCTCGGAATGAGCTTCATCTTCCTTACGAATCGTAGTTTCACGTATATGCCGCAATAATTTATATAGTTCGGTTGTTTATTACCGAACTGGCCTTTCATATTCGGTGGTTATTACAGACCACCCTTGTAGCCCAATGTGGCTTTGAAAGGCCCATTTCTCGTTTTACATCACATGCAGTGCACGTGACCTCCCAACATTTCACAGAGCGCGCGGGATTCAACCAGCGTTAACCGAAACCAGCCTCCTCCGCCTCCCTCAAACAAGTAGCAGCATCCCCAACATTTTCAAAATTACAGAACGAACCCCGGATCTGAAAAATCTCTTGCACCTAGATCCCAGAACCCCCTTTTAGATCCTCGCCCGCGTGAACCGGGTCAGAAAACAACAATGGCGAAGGTCAAAGAATTGCGCCAAGAATCCAAGGACGCCAGCGTTGCGAAGAGTGAGAAGAAGAGGAACCATGGCTCCACCGAGTTCTTCGTCTTCGTTGATTACCTCTTCCTCTCCATATTCTTCGCGTTCCTCTCTGCTTCATCATCTTTAAGATTACATCGGATTCTTTCTATCTCTAGTCACCCACATTCTTTCGAATCAGGTCCATCCTCTAATCCCTCTTCTCAATTTCCCTGATGGGTTTTGTCAATTTTGGGTATTTTGAATGCAATTCGTGTAATGGGTTTGCTTTGCGATTTCTTGATTGTTGTGGGTTCGACCCGTTTTGGTTGATTTGAGTAAGAAAAAGATAAAAATATCTGATAATGAATTGAAGGAGCGGCTAAATAGATAGCGTAATTATAAATGTTGAGCCTTTAATATGTGTCCATGATGCAATTGGATGTAGCTTGAGCAATTGTTCTAATCTAATATAAACTAGGGGGACGGGGATTCAAACTTGGGTGGAAAAGGGGAAGCACACTGATCTAACCAACTTAGTTAGGCGAGGCCGCGGTTGTAATTGTAATTGAATGGATAGGTAGAGGAATCAACAGGACTTTGAATGCATGGAAACCGAAATGAAATCTGGTATCAGTGGAGCTGCAATTTGTTCTCATCTTGGTGCAATGGCAAGTGCCTTCGCCCATGAGCGGTAGGTCTCGGGTTCGAGACTTGGGAGCAGCCTCTCCATAAATGGGGGTAAGGCTAGCCGACATTCACTTCTCCCAGACCCTGCGTAAAACGGGAGCCTTGTGCACTGGGTACGACCTTTTTGGGTAGTTGTTGGATTGATGATTGGCGTGTTCAATGTGAAAAATATGTGGTTGGTGGTGGAATGTATTCTAGGCATAAATATGGCTATTTAATGCCAAAAATAGTAAGTTTGTGCACATGTTGTTATGAATCCACGTAAATAGTGAAATTGTCAGTTCCATAGATTTACATGGCTGGGATTAACATATAAGCAGCTTGGAAAGTTAATCAACTTCCAGATAAAATTCACTCAAAGATTTAAATGCCGTTTTGTGTCAATTGGTTTATGGTTATATCTAAACCCGTGTGTGTTTTGTTTCTGAGCATTTTTCGGTAAAATGTTGTTGGAAGTTCGTAGTGCTCTATCGATAAAATGAACATTGATGTGATTTCAACTTAGAAGTATATGCAGGTTTCACTTCAGGATTGTTGATTAGTACCTAGCTGTTGTTTATGCCCTTGCAGCTGTTTCGTTTAGTGACATCTCTGGGGATTATGTGACAGGTTCAGGTCCAAGCTTGAAGAACTTCACGGGTGTTTGCATCGTCGGATTCATGATGTGTTAGGGTGAATCGGAGAAAAAAACATGTTCCCTTTTGATCGAATGTAATTTAGCAACAATTGCTTTTTGTGGCCTCTATTTCTGGGAACAGACACATGTATTTAAGTGTAATATTCGTATATGAATTAAGATGATGGATTATGTCTTTGTATTAAGTACTAGATGGTGTTTGTCAATTGGTTTCATACCAAATTTAATTAATGTCGGATTTGAATTATTCTTTTTGCTTTTCTGGTGTAATTTATTTCTAATTAGTAGGTCTAGTTGCTTCTTCTATAGGTCCACCTCATAAAAATTTTGTCCACCACAAGAATAATATTAGGGAAGTGATATCTGCACTCACGTTATCTTCTTTTGCGCTCCTTTTTCTTGGCCGTTATAGAGAATAAATCAGAAGGAGAAAACAGGAGTGTGAAAATCATTGCCCGCAAATTAAGTTTCCCTTTCCCTCACACATACAGACACAAAAACATGGCTAAAGAGTAAAGAGAATAACAACTGCTGAGCAGCATTCATTGATTCGCATCAGAAGTGCAACATAAAAACAGCAAAACATAGATTTATTAACTTCACTACTTTATTCGAAGCTAGAAAAGCAGCATGCTGTTCTCTCAAGAATCTAGCTCTCTCAAACTAAACAACAAATGACAGTAGAAGAAAAACACACATACAACTAGTCGACTGATACAGAATCGTGACCTAGCACGCTTATTCGAAGCTCATTTGGAAACGAATTCAGGGATTTGGAGTAACTGGAGTGCTCGGAGTGCTCCCGCCACCATTCCCGGGGGTTGGAACCTCATTACCGGGGTTTGGGACGAATGTGTCATCACCGCCTGGAACATAGTTGTTACTACTCGGGCTTCCACCACTTCCACTTCCACCAGTGCTGCCGGTGCCGCCCATGCCAGGGAACGGAGCAAAATGCTTCAATGGTGGTAGCATCACACGCCCAATGCCAGGAATGAGAAGACTTCCGTCATGGTCAAGTAACCACTGAGGTTGTTTCTTTTCATCTTTGTTGGAGATTGTTGGCACATTTCTCCCGGCAACTGCTCCTCCTACTAGGTCAAGGAGGATAACGGAAACGGAGATGAGAGCAAAGAACGAAAGGCGGGTTTTGTAAGCCATTATCGGAGCAATGGTAGAGGGAGGGAGAGATGAGAGAGAAGGGTAGGTCTTGCTGAAGTTAGCTTGGTGATTTGAATGTAGAAGAAGGGCTCTTCTTATAGCTGAGGATTTCTGGCAAGTTGGGTGAACAGTTTGTCGGTGAGTTAAGAAGCCATGGATAGAGAGGAGATATACAAATGTATACGTGCATGGAGAGAGAAGTGATGATGAGTCATTGAGTTGGTTTTTTCTTAGGTCGATCATTTTTATGCGCTTTCAAGGACTGGGTAGTGTTGGTTAAAATTAAATGACCACGGCCTTGCGAAATTCCAGAATACAACAATTTATGATATATATTGCGAAATTTGACGATTGGACGTATGCTTTGATATTCAGTGACAGAATAACTAGTGAATGTAACCTACTTATAAGGTAATGTATACTTTACATTGATGTACAGTACACCGATTTATGACATACATTGTAGAATTTAACAGCTAATGTGCGCTCCGATATTCAAAATAATTTATTGGGTGAATCGGATCCGCTGAAAATGTAATATATATTGATGTAAAGTTCAAAAACTTCAGGGGGTTTTTTCTTAGTTACCAAGATTGAGTTATACTTTAAACGTAATAAAATCTGCCTATATGTTCCAGCAACTCCTGCGGCCATTAATGATGTGCAGATCTGCCTACATTCCTCTGTGAATGTGAATCAAAGAGTAGTTACCATTAATTTCAGCTGCTTTTTTCTGTGTCTTCATCTTCTTAATTTACAATATCACTGTCGCTTTTGAGTTCATAAACTGCAAATTATTTTACTGCTGCCAACTTTGAAAGCCCTGGTACTTTGAGCCATAAAGGAGCCCGCCATTTAAGGTTTCATCTTTATCTTTTGCAGACCTACTTTTTTTCTGGTTTGTTCTTTCCTTTTCTTCACTGACAAGGTATTTAATGGGGTCATTTTCCACATTGCAATTTTCCATCTACCCCTTTATTGTTGTTGCATCAGTTATCTGCCATAGGAAAATTTTTACAAGTGGCACCTATATGTTAGGTATTGCTGCAAAATTATGCCACTTAATTGGAAAGTTGAGTAATTTGTCACCTCAATTTTGATGCTGTAATGGCCACCTACGACACTTATCCATTTTTTTTGTCCAAAAGGTTGCCAGTGTCAAAATGATTCTTTAAACATAAGGTGCATCGATATTTCAGACCTCAAAATATCTTTTAGAGGTATATATCAGTTTATCCCCTGAACTTATATAAAGGTGTCAATTTCTTCCTTGAACTTTAATTTTAGCCGATTACTCCTGAACTTTTATAATTAGCCAATTTCCCCTTAAACCTTAACTTTAGCCAATTACCCCCTAAATTTTTATAAATAGCCAATTTCCCCCTCCTAGCGTTAGATTTTAAATTTTTCATCCAATTTTCATCCATCCAATTTTTCATTCTTTTTGCCCCCATGCAGTTGTCATGTGTTGTCCGCGTGACCAAAATTGATTAAAAATTGGATGAAAAAAAAATCTAGCGGCATGGGTGAAATTGGCTATTTACAAAAGTTCAGGGAGGTAATCAGCTAAAATTAAAGTTTAAGTAGGAATTGGCTAATTATAAAAGTTCAAGAGTAGTCAGCTAAAATTAAAATTCAAAGAAAAATTATGACCTCTATACAAGTTTACAGGACAAATCGACAAATATGCTTGTCTTTTAAAGAATTTTAAGAATCACATGCTAACTTTTTAGACGAAAAAGTAGATGGAGTCAGACTAGGTGATATAGAGCAACAAAAAGTTGATGGAGTCAGACAAGGCGGCAATGGGTTTGAACAATTCAATAGCTGAATCTCACAATGCATCAATGTCTTGCGTACGTACATTACGCTGCGGGATCGTTTCAACCGTCGGATATGATGGTTTCATTTTTAAACGTAGACGTTCGGTTGAGCAATGTATTGCATAAATTTCCAGTAGAAATGTGGAACGTAAAAATCTAGGCTGCATCTACATCTGATCTGGACCAAAGAATGTACATAAAACTTGGAAACACAGAATTATATTTGCCTCAGCTACCTGAAGAGAACAGTTTCCTTACTTTTGTGCCTTCTGCAACAAATGCTGAGGAAATGGAAACCCAGAAAGACTTATCTTTTGGATTTTAATGAGGGCAAAAGATGCCATAATACAATAAACGCTAGCCGGTTTCGTTTACATTTGAATCACAATTTCTAAGGCCTTTCTTCGGAAAATCTAGGAAGTTGAACGAGGGAATTCACGCGTGTCACGCCTTCCAAACCCAACCAGTTCTCTTCAGCTGCCACTGTTTCTTCATTCCCTTCAATCTCAACCGGTAGTCTACCATGAGCATCACTTTCATCAGATGACCTGACAGTGAAATTCCTCTGCAAAGATGGCTCCGACTTCTGGCCATCATCTGATTCAACTGCATTGCCGGAGTGATTGCTTTGAAGGGTTGCAGATGAAAAGCCTTGTTCCTCATAATCAGATTCCGAGTCCATTTTCCCATCCAGAAACAAGCAAACGACTGCACAGTCATCCATCTTTGAAGTCGGGTATTTGAGTTTCCATTCGCGAGCAGCTGAGTCAACCACAGTCCTTGCTGCTGATGCCCGGGTTGGGGCTGAGGAGACTATCTCAACAACCTCTTCATTGCTTAAGACATCCCAAACCTATAAATATACAAGTTAAAGATCATCGAGTGAAGTTAAATACGAAATTTTAGGTTTACTATATTTCACATCTAATGCCACGCTACACTATCAACAATCAAGCTTATAAATTACAAGTAAAGCAAGACATTAATAAGCAGAGCATTCTCGTAGGTGCGCAGCAATCACTTATAAATACCGATCATGTTATCTCCAGCTTGCCTTAGGTTCTCCATATAACTTTTAAGGGATTAAAATTTCCATAGAGAAAACAGGGAAAGAGGACATTAATAAGTCCTCAAAGGTCTGAACAATTTCACATTCTGCGACCCCTGCTCGTGTGGAAGGTACAGGAGATATTTCATTCCTCATTAAACTATAATGTACACAGTACAAGAACATGCTGAGATGTAAGCACTCTTTTGTCACTCGTGTTTTTAGAATCCAGATGCTTTGGACTTTCTTACTGGATCTTTACATCTCATAAGAACTATCGACACTCCTTGATAATGTTTGGTGATTTAAATGTGACTTGTCTGTAATTCTATCACTTCATATTTGGTTCCTGTAAGCCATTTCAAGAGCAAATGGATATTCCTCATCATTGTACGATTACTATGTGAATTTTTAACTTTCTTTGCATTATTAAAGCCAGCAGTGCCGTGTAGAAATAATCAACAAATATCAAACCAAAAAGAACAAACAATATCGAAATAAACTATAGAGAATTTAGAAATAAACTATAGAGAATATCGAAATAGGATATTATCAAAGACGAAATTTTTACCCCGTCAGAAGCAAGAACAATGAACTGGTCTCTGTCAGTAAGTATCCGGTGTGAGAACTCAGGTATTGAGATCACTCCATACTCCTTTAAACAGAAATCGCCGAAGGCTCGAGCCATAGCTAAACCAGGGGCATCATCAAAAGGCAACCACACTCGAGACACTTCAGGCTCATCATGCAAAGCAACACCCTACCCTTACACCGTTTAATTCTTTCAGCTTCCCCTATGACATTTACATAAGCATCAACCAAGTAAGGTTCAAATAACAAGAAGGCAACCAAAGCATCAGTGACAAGAAATTTAGAATATTGTTCACACTTGGCAGATCAGGCTTTAAGTCAACAGTTAACTGGATTGCCACCATGGAATCACTACTGTCCCTTGATCCCAGGATTGCTCGGGAATCCCCGATATAACCCATGAAAAGATTTGACCCCTGAAAAGTGAAGCAATCAAAAACAAAGCAAACGAAATAGGCAAAATTAAGAGTGCAGATGGTGTTTGCTGCCGTACCTGTTTGACTAGAGTGACAGCAGTGCTACCACTGCAGAAGCAGTCCAAATTAGGATGAGACCTCAGCTCCTTGTCCATAGCTTTATATGACTTCAGGAAAGCGTCTCTCCATGATAAATTCAATTTTTCCTCATCCAAACCATCCTTCTCAGTATCTCCACAATCTGACTTCTTTAGGTTCCCCTTGAAACACGTTTTACTGGACCCTTGGTATGAATACAAGAAGGATAGCAGCTTCATTGGCAATGCATCCCTTACTTTGCGAGCAACAAGATGGCCGTGTGGACCATGGCCGTCAAAAACACCACAGAATATCGCATCATCGGACATGAAATCCTTCAAAAGAATATAAAATCAAGAGTTCAGCAATCATAAATTATCTTACCAACATGTTCAATTAGTATTCCCACTGCAGAGGAGAAACTTACTTCCCACACAAGCATGGCATCTTGGTTTATGCCTTTGCGGCCCTGCTGTGTGAATATGCAAGAAGTCTGGCTCTTTCCGTTGGTAAAAATGCGGTTTGGCAAGGTGTGTAAATTCTGAAGAGTATATGCATGGTCAGAGAATGTCTTCTTCGTTCTCTTTCGACCGCTAAATTGAATCCCCAAGCATGGGGGTGTGACTGCCTCTCTGTTGCTGTTGCTGCTACGAGTACCCTGACTACTAGTCGAAACACAACCCCCCATTTCCTCAGCTCAACATAGACGACATCTGACTGAATAAAGGATAAGTCCTACTTTAGCCAACCAGATCGCACATGAAATTCTGAAACTTGACAAAAATGGTCAACCGAGCAAATGAATATCCAAATGCCAAAGATTCCCACAAATCCAAACCACCAGCCATTTTACAAGCCCATATAGAAAAATGAGGTCATTTTATCTTGGTCAATGCAGTCCGTGGATGTAACGTGAATCGATAATAAAACTAGCTGAAGAGAACAAGAAGACATTAGTTAATTACTTTTTTAATCTCTGGCAACACATAATGCAAAAATGGCTGCTTCTGCTTGTAAAGAACTAAACAAAACAAACAAGATGTATTAAAACAACACAATTCCATGTTTCAAGGAATAGAAATACTTAAAAAGGCCGTCCACATCCTATTGCCCTTCATGAGGAATCACACTGATAATAACCAAGTGGTAGGATTTTGAGCAAATTGATTTATATAAAATAGGTGCCAAAGACCCGTCGATTATGATATAACTTAGATTAGAATGTCGCTAAAACAAATAGAAGCTAATCGAGACACAACAAAACAGAAAATCGGGTACACAAAACCGAGAAATGCCATAAAAACACCAAATTTACCCTGTATTCTGCCAACTATGAGATTCGGACTCATCAAAATTCAATACAACAACAACAAAGCCTTTTCCCACTAAGTGGGGTCGGCTATATGAGATGCACTTAAAAGATTCTTAATAAAACAGAACTAAATTGAGATGCAAAAACCAGAAGAACAATGTGACTATTGAAAATCTTGCCCAATTATGTATACCAACAAACAAACTCAGAGAAACCCAACTGTTTCTAGGTCATTAAGAAACAATCAAGATTTTCTGAATTAAAGTGCATACCAATTAAGGAAACCAGAAAGAAATATTCTTGACAACTTGGAATTTTTTAGTACATGTTAAATCTACCTCCATTTTCACAGCAACCAAACAACAAAGCATAGACTACTTCGGAGGAGGAGAGAGGGGGAGAGAGAGAGAGAGAGGTAAAGGCAAAATATTGAAATTGGTACAAAGTTACGAACTGTTGTTTTCCCACTAGAGAGAAATCCGAGAGAGATAAAGCAAATTTTTTTTTTTGAAAGCGAGATAAAGCAAATTTTGAAAAAGCAGGAAAAAGACGAGAGGAATGCTCTTTTGTCAAATAACATAATCATTTAGGTATAACTATTTATCGTACAAAGAATGAAAGTAAACAAACAAAGCATACACAGGGTTAATCCTTGTTTGGTTCCTGAGAAAATATCAAAGAAAATCCGTAAACTTTTGAGCATAAGAGATCACTCAAATATTACATGATCATTCATAAGGGCAAACAAAGCAGAAAAACCCAATATCACAAACAACCATCAAAATCAAATGGTATGTTTAGTTTTCTATGAGAATGCAGTAAAAGTTTCAGTCTTTACAAAGCAAAGCACCAAAAAAAATGAAATTTGAGATGTTTCTCTCTCTCTCTCTCTCTCTCTCTCTCTTACCCAGTATCAATAGAGATCAAAACCCAAAAAAGATAAGTAGATGGATTAGAGTGCAGATAGACAGAGAAGTTGTACACGCAGATCTTTGATTAGTCAGTGATTATTGCTCCAAATCACCCATAATTTCGAAGCAAACAGAGATGAGCATTATTGATCACAGATAATGGAAAGCAAATGGTTTAAACAAACAAACATTTGAGAATTAGAAATAAAATTGGATTGTTCGAGAAAAATTGAGAAAACGGTAGTGAGTTTTTTACCTTTTGTTGAATTTTCTTAGCCTAGATTGGAGCTTTGGGATCAGAGTGAAGAAAACCAGAACAGAAAAGAAGTGGGGGGGGGGAGGGGAGAGAGTTGAATATTTATATGGTGGAGACTGGAGGAGGGTGGTGCATTAATTGCAAAAGCAGCGCAGAACCGAAAGGAGAGAAAGAGAGGTTACTGTGGAGTAGCCGTGCACCTCCCCGCTAAGGACAAGGATTGTCTGCCCTCCTAGTTGTGGTGCCCTTCATGTCCTTCTATTTTGTGCGGTCATAGTTAAGCCACGTTAATATTTTATATTTTTATTATTTTTTATCTTATTATCTTATTAAAAAATTAATATAAAATATTAACGTAGCTTAACCATGACCGCACAAAATAGAAAAACATGAAAGGGCATCACAACTAGGAGGGCAGACAATCCAAGTCCCGCGGCTAAAACGATGATTGAAATCAATCTCAGATTCTCATGATGCAACTGCCACTGTTTAATGCACTTTCCTCATGGCGCGTCCGATCATCCTTATCCCTTTTTTCTTTTCATTTCTTTCTTCTTCCTTTTTTCTTTTTTCTTCATTCTACCCAACACTAAAAAGGATTAGGATCCTAGTCGAAACCTTTTTCTGGAATTCGGAAAATCAATTAATTATGTACATTTATCATATATTGTATGGTCAGAAGCTATTTAAAATTAAATATAGTATCTAATGAAAAATGACCACACTATATATGATGAACGAACACGATTGATTGATCATCTAGATCTCCACAAAAGAATCCATAGAGGATCCTCATCCAAACTAAAAGGCTAAATACACTGAAATAATGATCTTCAAATTTTTATGCCTGTAAGACCGACTCTAATAATTGAGTTAAAATCTAAAATTTAAGTTATAAACTCATCAAAATCATCTCTAACTACGGGGCCTAAAGCAAGTTTGGGCATATTTAGCTCAATAAACCGCCCAAACCTATTTTTTGGCCCATCACTGAGCGTGGACGTGCCAAACTCAAACCTACTCTCGGCGCGCTAACGCGCCCAACAGTCCATATTCGAACTTACTTTTTTATTTTAGTTTATAAATTAATTAAATCCAAAATTATTTTGGGGGTAGGTTTAGTGATTTTACATTACTTATTAGAATCTAAATATTTTTAGGTTAAAATGTTCATAAAAATAAATTAGGTTAATCTACATAAATTTTATTTTATAAAAATTACCGAAAAGAAAAACTAACATAAGCTTAAATAATCTTTACCATTTTAAGCTAAATCATTGGAGAAGAAACATTGTTTTTAGATTAAACTCTAATAAGTCAAAAGTAGTTACATGGTTAATCAAAATGTAAATGATAAAAACTACATGCTAATAACATAAGGGTGCTTATGTACGGCTTATTTTTCTTAGCTTAGTATCTCTTCAATTGGATTTCGATTGGAAATTTTAGTCAAACTATTTAAATTTTGTATTCACTACATGCAAGTTGTTTTAAGGGTGTTTTTGTTATGTTATGTCAATTTGTGGTAATCTGCAACAGCAGTAAGTGTTATTTTGGTGGCTAATTCAAAATTTTATCTTTTGTTGGTTGTTTTTTATTTTCTAAATCATATCCGCTTTGTGTTCGGTTTTGTCTCGAAAATTATGTAAATTATGTCGTATTGCATTGTTTTCATGACCTGGTCTTGGTTAATCTTTAATGTTAGGAGACTAAATTTGTTAATAAAATTGGCAAACTAAATGATGTATCACTAATAGAAATGAGCACGTTTATCAAATTTGAAGTAATAATTTAATCATTAATTTTCATGTCATTTAGTTTTTAAATTTTCTTTCTAGCATTAGGCTAATTTTTATCAACCAAATTCATAAGCATGTTTACCAACAGTAGAAAAAACACGAAAATATCACAAAAAATTGAATACATATATATATTATGCGCCAGTATTCTGGGGGTGAAGAGTGTGAAGGCTTGAAACCTGAAACTGAGTCTTGATGTTCGAAGTTGAAAAGACATAAAAGCACACGCCAAACTGACTCAAACTCGGGACACAAGACGTGGCCGAATGTCTCACCCTTAAAAGCAATAACTTAAACAAAAGTTGCCAACTTGCCCTCTTCTTCGGATTAAGATTTTCTTCTCTCTTTTTTTTATCTATTTTCATTTTCTTTTCTTACTTTCTCTATTTTGTTTTCTTTTTTTTATAAAAAAATTCATATAAAATGTTAACGTGATTTAACTATGACCGTTTAGATAGGATGAGAGGGAAGGAAAAGAAAAACGAAGAGGGGAGAGAATCCTACTCTCTTCTTCCTCCCTCACTTTCTCCTTCTGTTCTTCCCATCTACTACAAACCCTACACGCACTCACCTTCGTCCGTGCTAAGATTTCCCGGTCCACCTTCCCTTTCTTTTTCTCCTTCCTCCCACTTTATTTTGTTACAAAGGTCAAGTTTATCATGTTATGATTTAGGGGTATGCTATCTACATACCTATTTTTGCTTCTCACACACTCCTTGTTAATTTCTATCATTTGATCTTCTTCAATCCATTCGATCCAACAACCGAAATTTAGAAGGGTATGTGAGAAGTAAAAAATGATATATGAATATCATACCCCATGATTTAAATGTCGAGCCTAATACTGCAGGCTTGTCACTAGTTGTATTGTATGAGGTGGTTGAGTCCGGCTCTAGACGCATAGGGCACAAACCCTACTCGCTCCGCTATGGATAGGTAGCAAATATGATGATTTAAATGGGAGAGAGGGAAAGGGAAAGGAGATGGGGCTAATTAAGCTAACCACCAAGGTAAGGTTGGCAATGACAATTTTGGCAAATATGGAAACAACCCTACTTAAAACTTATATAAGTGGGGATTTAAGATTTCTTCCTAAAAACCCAAATCATGGCATAAGATTAGGCTTTTACCAAACTTGTCTATTACTTAAACTCCTTATGTAGTTGTCTCAATATGATGTTGAAGACACGATTAGCATAATTTTTTTTAAATGATGGTACATTACATAAAATATCATTGATCATTGTCATTATTTAATAGTGAGTTTTGGATGGACATGAATTAGAGCAATTTGGTTGTCAATTAAACATGTTCATCATTCATTGGCTCTAAAATTACTAAAAAAAATTCTTTGTTAAGGTTGTCGCATACAAAATAAAATCAAATAAAAAATTGTCTTGGAATGCAAATATATCCCCTTGTTCCTTTTGTCTCTCATCACGTATTCTTTTGTCTCATAAGAGCAAGAAGAGATTGAAAAACAAATGAATATATACTTCCGAGACAAGCAAGTTCACTCCGTCGCATAAGACAACTTTCTTGGTATGATGATTGCTCTTGTATTTCTTCATTAGACCCAATAGTCTCAGTGTGAGATAGTTTCCTTGTACAACCTTATCCAAGAATTTCTCTTCTCTCCTTGCGCTTTTTCACATGTTATCCATTTGATCTAGTGCAAACCCAGCTACAATTCAAACTTGAATCTATAACCACAACTCTTTTAGTTGTATACATGCTTGCAAGTTGCAAGGCCAGCATTGGTTAGGTTTACGAGTCTGTGACCCAATTAAATTGTGTTCCCCTTCGCTGTGAATAGCAAGGCTGGAACTAATCTAAAACCAGATCTTGTGGAACCGGAAATGATCGATATTAAATGGTAACCCAGCTCCAAAGGAAAAAAGGCCTTTTACATATTCCTTTTCAATTTATTTACAAAAATAATTGCAAATGCATCATACTAAATTATATATACAATCCTATTTTGTTTGTATCATACTTTAACAACCTCAAAACTACGAGCAATGTCCAACTTCATACCTTTAGAGACCCACTGAAGGATTTGCGTTGAGGCACTTCTGTCGAATCACAAGAGTTTCTCTCCAACTAGGTGACCAATCACAATGCTACATTTGTCAATGTCATAATAAAACTTCTAAAATCTCGTATCAACCGTCGGCGAAAGTGTACGACTCTCCTCAACAATAAAAGGATATAATTCTCCTACAATCAATCCCTAATGCAATTATTGTACTTAATTCATTATTATTATACTTAAACCACTCTATCATGTACACTCTAGATTGACCCAAAAAAACCTTATCATAATCATTTGTGTAGATAAACTTGTGAGCTCGACAAACTCAATCCGGCTTTCATACTATGGAATAAAAGAATTCGAACCTATGCATGCCGGTTCAGCAATGCTATCAAGCATCCAAAATACACCGGGGTTGTAAATGGCCTAGCGCAACAACCATTTCATCCAACATACGTATTTTTTTCTATTTTTCCAATGAATTTACATCTTTCATTAATGAAATTTTTTTGATGTAGTGAGTATTAGTCCTTCCATTGCTTCGGGATAACTTAAAACATGTGGGCCTACTAAGAACGAACACGTTACACTTGGGACATGACTAATTCAAACCCCACCTCTTTTTCTTCTGAAAAATGAAAGATCATGTCTGCAAATCTGAAAGCTTTTTCTTTTCTGATATTATATAACCCGAAGACATTGACCAACCAACATGCGTTTGCATTTATTTTTATAAAATAAAAAATAAAAAACAACCGCAGGAGTGTGCATTTCTTGTATAATTGTTTGCATAATACATGATCGATATGGACCTATTGATCAAGTGTGGCACCAAAATAAATAAGATGAAAATTTGAATGAGGAATTTGGAATCATAATTTTGATATTTAAAGAAAACAATCTGCCATTTTGTGCGCTGTTTTAGGTTTAGATCCCTTCAGTAATTTATCAATTTAGTAATATTTCTCTCGCTTATAAATAAAATGTTTTAAGTTAACGAGTACGATACCTATGTACGTGTCATGGCATAAAAAATGCTTAGCTTTTTCCATAATTTGAAAAATGTGGACAAACAGTTTTGGGTATGCTCCAACTTTTTATGCCTCCTTTAGCTTTTTGATATACTTGTTTATTTGAAAAATCCAAGCGCTAACCCAAATTGAAATTTAAACCTTATGTTCTTGTTCCTTGTTTCTCAGTCTATCAAAATTCAGAAGAACCAATGCATCCTTTCCACAAACTTTTAAAGTGGTGGCTTTACTTTACAACAAATTTTCTTAAAGTGTAGGCCCTTAATTATCTCAACTTTGTTATGTTAGTCCACATATAATTAATTTAATAATTACAAATGATTATTTGATCATGATTACTTATCATAACCATACGGGACGATCATGCAAACGATCATGCAAAGTGTGATTATTCTCATCTAGTGTTCTAATTGGTAATTACCATTGTTCAATACATTCATATGAATCATAACCTGGCCCTCGGATTCCTTTTCAATTTTATTTTGTATTTTAGCTTATTTTCCAGGAAAGGCTGCCCAGTGATGCCCAAACGTATGTTATATGCAACAGCCTTGTAGTTCACTTTGTATATTCAGTAAAAACGGGTTTTCTTTTTTAAGAAATGATAGAATACTTACAAAGATACATTTATAATAAGCTATTAACTCACCAACAATAAACTACAGTGGACAATAATTTATTATCGGACTCATTGTAAATTTGTATTATTATCGGTATATGTGAGTCAAATCCGAATTATCTTCTATTAAGTGAAGACTAATTGCCTCTGACTTATCATTACAAGTCAAAAAAGCTGAGGACAGTTTCATTTTTAAATGTACGGGTGCAAGGTAAAATGATGAAAAGAGAACACAAATGTTAACCTTGGCTTCTTTATGGAGTAAGTTTGTACCACATTACAATTTCGGATCCAAATTATACTGTAAAATAATATAAAGATAGCAGCCGAGTGGGGTTCATATGTGCAAAGCAGAGAACAAAATCGGAACCAAAACCGAGGTTGAGCAAATATGGTCCTGGTAAACAAAGTTGAAAAGTAAAATTTGGCAAGCACTAAGAGTGAAATGAAGAATTTGGGGAACAAAACAAGGGATGTAAAGCAAAGGCAATGAAGTTTCAATGAAGTTTTATGTGCAAAGATTATAATGCATGTGCTAAAAGCTTCTTTGGAGTCTGGGATTGAGGGATTTAGGGGATGATTTTGACTTGAGTATGAACAAAGTTTGTAGAACACCAACCCAAACAAGGCCATTCAGATTTGGAGCATTTGGTCAGAGTCCAAAATCTATAGCCCAGTGTTTTTAAAGCCCGAATCATGTAGGCCCATGTTTTTATTGACTTATGGGAGTTAGGGAATTGTTTCCATACATTGGAGAAAATTCTCTGTATTTGAGATTTGATATTTCAAGTTGATCATGCATTATATAGAAAGTGAGTTAAGATAACCGTGCATGCTTGATTCAAATACCATAAACGTGACAATATAATCCTTGGTAGATGTAAGTTTTTCTCCATTATATCATCTCCAAAAGTAGACTTCTCTTTATGTATCATATTACAAGGTTTGTCTTTTGAAACATTGATATCTATTCCAAAGAGGCATGATATTTGGATAACAATGAATTAACTATAATTAGTTATCAAACCCGTGATTCATACAAGCCGAATTTAAGACCTTCCAAAATATCATAAGACCCTATTGCTAGTTGCTTTCAAACTCCAATTTTAGTTTCACTTACACAACTTTCTACCCTCTAATTTTGTTGTTTTAGAACAGCCCAAGGCCTTGCAACTTCAAGTAGCGTGAACCTAATTAACAACACACACCCCCCAGCAGATCTCTATCCAATGCCTCATTGGTTCACCTCTCATCCGAAAAACCAAATAAATAAGATAAGGTGATAACTGATAAGCACACGTGGCACAAATCCAATTACTGGTTACTCCTACAAACACATTCTCTCTCTCATCCCCAGTCCTCTCTCCCTCCACTCCCAACCATGGCCTCACCAACACTCCTAACTCCCACCTCTAAACTCAAATCTCTTCCACCAATCAAGTCCACCAAATCCACCGCCACCGCCACAATCCCACAACCTCGACGCCGCGAATTCTTATCGTTCGTGGCGGCAGCAGCTGCAGCAACTCTGTCCTCGCCAGCATGGCTCTTCCCGCTCACACCAGCTGCATTTGCCGCTTCGGACGAGGAGTACGTAAAAGAAACGGAGGAGGTGATAAACAAGGTCAAAACCACCATTAACATGGATAGGAACGACCCCAATGTGGCTTCTGCAGTGGCGGAGCTCAGAGAAACATCAAACTCATGGGTGGCCAAGTACAGGAGGGAGAAGACTCTGCTCGGTAGGGTTTCTTTTAGGGACATTTACTCCGCAATCAATGCAGTTTCAGGGCATTATGTCAGTTTTGGACCGACTGCTCCGCTTCCTGCAAAGAGAAAGGCGAGGATTTTGGAAGAGGTGGAAACTGCAGAGAAGGCATTGTTGAGGGGCAGATAAATTTGTAAAAGAGATTACTGGTAACTGATCAGTATTCAATGGAGAGATGAGAGAGTGAGAAAATTTTAATTTTCTTTTTCTTTTTGTATTATTACTAAAATTAGTATTTTGAACTGTTTTATTGTTCACATTTTGTTTGTTAATCTTGAGGTTACAGAGTGAGATTACTGGTAGGGTTTTTACTATTATGAAAACCCTCCATGATATATTAACATCTCTACAACATGCTTATTACTTTAACTAGAAATAGAACATGACGAAATTATTGTGCCGTATTGAACCATCACTACGTGATATATTATATGTTAGAAGTTTATTTAACTTTCTTAGGGCAACTCCACAGTGCTCCATAGCCCGATGGACCGGCTCCAGAACAAGGGGCAATTGCCCTAGCAATCATGTCCAGCCCATGCGGGTGATTGCGCAGGAGGGGGCCTGAGCAAGAGGCCCAACGAGAATCCCTAGCCCGAGGTGGGGGTGATGCAACGCTGACATCAGGGCGACGTCAGCCACGTTTTATTATTTTTTTAGTCAGGTGCGTGCATAACACGCACGCGTGGGGGCGCGTCCTCGACATGTTTCAAGCGTTGGGGCCTGCAGTGCAGGTGTGCGTAATGTTACCGTTGGAGGCCACGTGGCTTTGTCTCAGCCGTTGGATTTCAACGGTTACTTGTTCTTGACCGTTGGATTTCCAAAGGTAAAAAAAAATTGAAACCTTCCTAAATATCAGCCGTTAGATTTGAGATCAACTGTCCATGTTATTCGCCTTTCTAAATTAAAAAAAATTAACATTTAAAAAATCTGAAAAGTTACCGTTGTGCCACATGGCACAATCTGGACGGTTGGATTTCAATTTTTTTTAATCCAACGGCAGAAATTAATTAAGTTAATAAAAAATCAGAAAAAAAATTAAAAAATAAAAATAAATAAATTGATTTTACTTTTCTATAAATATATCTTCTACCCAAGGAAGAAAATATAGGTAAGATCGGAAATATCGGTAGTCTAAAAACACTGAAATATCGATGGAAATATCGGGATAATATCGATATCGATAAAAATTACATGGAAACCATGGAAATTGTAAGAAAAACTTGGAAATTTTTAATGAAACTTTGCAGGATGTTTATTTAGTCAATTATCTATTAGTTTATCATAAAAAATTGGAAGGAAATGCATTGAATTATGGATTTAACTGATTTAAGTTGATTATATAGCGAGCTGGCAAACATTGTGAGTGTAGAAAATATGTAGTAATTAATGAAAGAAGTTTAAACACACCATAATCATTTATATATAATTAATTAGTACAATATTGGGAGGTTTTATTTAGGATATTAAAAAAAAAAAGGAAGTGAATAAAATGATGAAGAATAATGTGCCGAATTTGACACTTTAAATTTCTTACACATAAGCATGCGTCTAGGCGTTAAAGTTCCAAATTATAGTATATCAATTAACGATTGAAAATCAATATGTTGAATAAGACTAAACTTTAATTTGGATGCCGATTATGTTTTTTCAAGTTTATATAAAGTAAAAGAATTGAATTTTGGAAGCCAGGAGTGTGTCAATTGTTTTATAATTCGTCCGAATACATATATCAGGTTGCTACTCAACGTAATTTGAAAGTATATCTAGTGCAAGGACTTGTCTTTTTTTTGTTGATAAGCAAAGGGTTTGTAGCTTTTTTTGCTAAGCAGTAGAACATATTATGTTTGTTTAATCTTTAGCATTTGATCGTTGTCCACAAATATAGGATAAAAGGCCCCAAATTAGATCTGGCTCTTAAGTCTTACCTAGTTGGAGTCACAAGTTCACATGTACCAGCCCTCGCAAGTCGCAACAAAACGTTTTGGTTTCTGTAATCCCACATCGCCCACGTAAGGGCAATGAGCAAGGAAACAGGCCTATAAAAGCCACATTCCCAAGCTTGGTTTCTGTAATCTCGTTTATGTAATCCCACATCGCCCACGCAAGGGCAGTGAGCAAGGAAACAGGCCTATAAAAGCCACATTCCCAAGCTTGGTTTCTGTAATCCCACATCGCCCACGCAAGGGAAGTGAGCAAGCAAACAGGCCTATAAAAGCCACATTCCTAAGCTGTGAAAAGCATGCCTTGCTCGGCCCTTTTGGCTAAGATCAAATGTAGTTATCTGTTGAGACTTCTCAGCATTTTTTAAATATTTTTGGGTTTTGATCTGGCGATATTATAAAAAAATATCGCGATAGTTTCGGAAATATCGCGATAGTTTCGGAAATATCGCGATATTATCGATAATATCACGATATTTAGACGAAACCCAATTGGATACCTATTAAAATATCGTTACCGTGAAAAACCGATAATATCGGCGATATTTCGCCAATATTATCGGCATTTTCTTCCTTGCTTCAACCTTATTCCAATCTTTCTCTCAAATACTTTCAACCATAATTTCATATTTTCTCAAAGTTTCAACCACAATTTTATATTTTCTCAAATACTTTCAACCATATTCCAATCTTTCTCTCAAAGTTTCAATCAAATTGGTTTCCAACAAAATGATTAATGATGTAGGTACAAATTGGACGCTTCTTGAAGATGTTACGTTGTGTTCTAGCTGGGTTGAAGTTACTCATGATCCGATTACAGGTAATGAGATGCAATTGCGAGAAATGTGGAGTCTTATTCATACCAATTATCTTGAGAAAATTGGTGGGAAAAGAACTAAAGAATCGATGTTCAGTCGTTGGATAATACTCAGCCAATCGTTTAGTCTTTGGAGAGACGCCTTGGCACAAGCTAGTGCTAATCTTCAAAGTGGGGAAAATTTAGCGGATCAGGTAACAATATATTATTTATTTGTTTGTACTATACCCAGTGTTCTAAAAAGCGGCCTAGGCGGCCGCTTAGGCGTTGGGCGTAGGTGTGCCAATCCGATTAGGTCCAAATCGTTAAGAAAAATCGGGGAGCTATTAGGTGTCCGCCTAGGCGCTCTTAGGCGGCCTGGGCGGTCTAGGCGGAGTGAAATGGTTTCCTGGATTCGGACTCTTCGCTCTGCCAAAGCAGCTCTGGAACGACGGGCTTCTGCACACCCAGTGTGGAACTCCTGCTTACGTGGCGCCAAAGGTGCTGAGGAAGAAGGGGTACGATGGATCTAAGGCGGATATCTGGTCGTGCGGAGTTGTGCTGTTCGTTTTGCTGGCTAGGTTTATGCCGTTCCAGGATGAGAATCTAATGAACTTGTACATGAAGGTTTTCAAGGCGGAGTTTGAATGTCCGCCGTGGTTTTAGACAGAGGCAAAGCGGTTGATCTCAAAAATGTTGGTTACAATGCAAAACAGAAGAAGAGGAAACCAAAAAAAAAAAGGAAGAATTTACAGAAGGAAAACGGAAAAAAAAAAAGAAAAAAAAAGAAGATAAACTGACGAAGAGGAAACAAAAAGAAAATGAAGACGATGAGAAAAGGGAAAGAATAAAAAAAGAAGAAAAGTTTTCCGATTTTGTCAAAATGGTTTGGGAGTCTCTAGGCTGATTTGAGTGATGGGGACTATAGGTGGAGGGGAGGGGTCACACCACCACACACGTGGTGCTTTATGAAATGGGGAAGAAAGGATGCATGCACCTCTTCATAATTGCTTTTTCATGATTTCCTGACCTCAAGCTCAACTTTCAATTGATATATAGGTTTCTGATCGGTTTTGGGTGAGATTTTTACTTTTTATGTTTCAAAAATAAGATATAATCATTTAAAATATCTTAAGTTATATAGCATATATGTTTAATGTGTTTTTAAATTTTGAACACTTGTTAGATACTTTTTTTGTATTTTATAATTCTTTTATTATCTTATTCATGGATTTTATACAAGTATAATTTTTTATGTGTACTTATTTACAAGATAAATCCACCTAGGCACCCGCCTAGATCCCGCCTAACCGCCTAGGCGCTAGGAGCCAGCCAACCGCCCGACTAGCGCCTAGTGTTTTTTAGAACCTTGACTGTACCCAAATTTACATTATAATTATTTGTTTGTATTATTTATTTGTTAACTACTTTGATTATAATTATTTCTTCTCCTACATTGTGTAGATACTTCAAGCACAAGCTTGGTATAATGTCAAAACCAAAAACAAAAACAAATCATTCACCCGGTGGGAATGTTGGAATATTGTCAAAGATTGTTCTAAATTTAGAGTTGTGTCTGTCAGTCCAGAAGTTGTCATGAACAACACCCATCTACACTATATACCCATTCACGACTCGCATGTTGAAGGAGACACAGAAGAAGTGCCGGAAACACCCCATGAACAAGCGTTGGTGAAGAAGGAACAAAAAACTATGAATAATGATAGAGATTTTGAATTTGGTGTGTGATTTTTGGTTCTAGATGGTGGGTTATATGGAGGAAAAAGAAAGGATTAGGTTATAGATAATGCAATGTGGCATGCCGTCATTCGTTAAAATTTTTATCGAAATCTACCCTCAAAGATTGTCTTCAAATTGCGACACGTGGCGCGACATGATTGGTTAAAAATCTTATCGGAAATCTATCCTCAACGATTCTAAAAAGGTAATAACACGTGGCACGACGGCATTGGATAATTATCTTATCGAAATCTATCTCCAAAAATTGTCTTCTCGGATAATGACACATGACGTCACTAGAACGATTAAAAATCTTATCCGAAAATACAAATAAAATTATTTTGTATTATTTTATAAAATAAAAAATACTAATATTTTATTACCTATTGTCATGGTTATTCAATGTAGGGGTGAAGATGCAAAAAGCAATTACTGTTCATTGGATGTTATTCAATAGTGACTTGCCCTAAGGGGGCCTTTGCAACGATGAAGTTGCTCTTAGTAGCTAAAATTCATTGCTAAGCTTGTACCATATACCCATGGGGAAGTTTCAATGAAGAGGTTGCATATATTTTCGATCATTCTGTTTTATGTTCCCACATTGTGTACTGCAATACAAAAATTTGGATAAAAGTTGGAATGTATTTTTGATCAAAGACGCATGGATCCATCATGTGATAACTGGTGTATATGATAATCCTTTTTTTTTAGACCTTCGGTATGAGTTTTCAATTTTGAGTAGGCTTTTTGACTTTTCAAATTGTTAGGATACACACAATTTTAAATCATTTTTCAAAGAACTTATAGTTCAATCGGTTGAAAATATTTACTTATACACTCAGGTCTCAAGTTTGATTCTCTTTCATCTGGAAATTTCGTGTAAATTTCCC